AAACTATTGGTATCTGTAAATGCTACTAGCTATACAAACTGTAGTCAATGTAAATATGTCATATGATGTCCTCTTTGTTTTTCTGTCATGTTTGTATTCATGTTGGAACCTACTTGCAGCAGGTCACCATTGAAAAAGAGGTCAATGATCTCAATGGGTTTTCACCTGAATAAATAAAGGTTTTGAAGAGATGAAGTCAGCCTTAGGAACAGCTGACTGGCAGTTCCACAGGCCCCCTGAAACGAGATGTTGGATCTCAGTGGAGCATGTGGGATAGACAAGAGCAGGCCGGTTAAATAGCATGAGGGGCTAGAGAACCAAAGAGAATTGAATAAAACAAAAGAAAACACCAGCGATACTTAGCTCAATCAAAGTAGGATTTGCCTCCTCTTTGCCTCCCTCGTGACTCCAACAGGACTCCAATGTCTTTGTCAGTCTTCGTCTGGCTGACGCTCCAGGAAAGAGCCACCTAAGATGGACACCTGATTGCTGAGTTCTCACAGCTGATTGCTGAGTTCTCACAGCTGTGGGGGCACGCCCCTCTAATTAGTTAACTCTCTTCAGCTGGTGGGCGACAGCAGAGTGTTCCTGCCTATTGTAATGCAGGGTTGAGGCGCGTGACCCACTGAGACCTGTCTTACAGGTTGAGTTGAGCAGATCTGAGATTTAAAATCTCTCATAAATCGCCGTTTTAGCTACAATAACTACAGAACAATTATACAGAGTAGAATAAATGAAACAGAGAAGTCTATTTAAACAAGAATATAACTTACAGTGATTGCTGAGTCAGTATAGATAGTGTCCTCACCGGGTCTGGATGCACACTGATATGTCTGCTCACAAGGCGACGGTCGAGACGGTCAATAAGGCCGGTAAAGACCTGGTGGAGTTGAGCGCTGGAGATGAAGCTTTAAGGCAGCAATGTGGGTCACCAAAACCAAAATGTATATTTGGAGATGTCTGTCACTGATCTATTGTAAAGTACAACAATATGAGAGAAAGAAAGAGAGCAACGGAAAAACAAACTAATGAAGTGTAAATGGAGTTCAAATGAAGACATGGCAGAAATAAATAAGCAGCTATGTACAGCGACACAACCTAATACTGTACATTCATGAATGGGTCATTCCAGAATTGGAGGACAATTTAGACACCAACATTTTTGAAAAATGAACCTTTTATTTTATTTTTATTTTTTAATGTATTTAGGAAAAACAGATAATAAACCATCAAAAAAAGTGATTTGCCCAGCTAGGCATCAAATGTATATTTTCCAATTACTCTAAGTATAGTAACAGGGTTGAAAGTAACAGGGTTGAAAATCAATGCTAATTTGAGCTTTAACCTCAGGAATTATTGCTAGATGTACTGTAGCATGTAATGCTACTTTCAAGGCAAGGACAAACTTGGATATCTAATGCAAGAAAGATAACTTTGAAATGAATATGCTTTATTCTGATAATATCAGTTACAGGGTTGAGTGGGTCGGAGTGCCACACTCTTTTAAGACTGAAAAGATTGTAAAAATAGGAAAAATAAACTTAGTTTTGGTCTACCCATGGCACTAGCACATGGCTTTCTGATGTCACTTCCACTGTGTCATCTGATTTACAGTTTTTTCACTTCCTGTGCCAATCTAAAAAGGTTTGGGTAACAGGGTTGAACGCGGGTTGAACGCATGTTGAGGGACACACCTTCTGTGCAAAATTACTGTTATTTAAAATATGTTTATGATTTAACAAATTGATTTTACCATTACAAGAGACATATAGAATAATACCAAAAAAACTAAATAAAATCCCTATTTTAAATGTTATATTTGACATGCAAGTTGGTCACCAAGAAGCGGGGACAAGAGAAAAATGCCATTTTAGGGGATGTTCGAGAGCTATTTGATAATTAAAATAATATTTTGAAACCACTTTTTCTACAACTTTATATACATTTTGTCTCAAGACAAGTATGTTTAACACAATAAATGCATGTTTTAGCATTTTGGGCATGGATTATTAGATTTTTTATATGGGGGACATGAAATATCCTCCAATTCTGGAATGACCCAAGAGCAATACTTCCCCATGTTTGCTAAAACACGGTGTTATTCAGCCTTTCAGAGTATTCATATGTTGTCTGCTCATACCATGAAGGGCAGCCACTCCTTTAGGTAAAAGCAGTGGGGGAAGTTGAGAAAGTGATCGTGTACCCCCCTCGGTGAGAAGACCTTTGAAGCGAGACTCCCGGCAGCAGAAGCAGTCGGGACTCAGAGCTGTTGTGCTGGATAAATATCCAAAAGCACATTAACCCTTTCAGCAATCCACACTGCGGTGCCCCGATGATAACTTTCTCTTGAACATTGTTTAGTCTGGGTGCATTCAATTACACAAAGTTACGCTCAGGAAAAAAGGAAAGACTCATAAAAGCCTCTGTCAAAAGACAAATATAATATGTTGGCATTTGCCTTTGAATGGTATATGTAATCATTTATTTTGAAGTGTATATGTTGTATACAAACTGAGACATCTTATTGACACCACAACTGCTTCTGGCATCAATGACAGAAAATAAATGACATGCATGAAAAAGTGAATCCACAACATCTGATTTGTTCCCTGAGGTTGTTCAGAATGTGTTTGATATTGATTCACACATCTAGAAATGTGAGGTATTGATGTGTGCTGTGTGCATGAGGCATTTCAAATCATATCAATCAATGACATTTATTCCCACTGTGAAAACCTGGAAAAGTGGAAATATATAACAAATGATTTCTTATATTTCGACATCTCCAAGCATGACTTAAAATAATGTTAATGTTTACAGGTCTAGATTTTCCAATAGGAAAACTAATACAGCTTGTGAATCTATTTTTCTAATTTCTCCTTGGAGATGCAGACACACATATTGAGAGCTGTTTCACAACCTGAGAAAGAGCATTGTTGATATAATTGCTAATGAAGTGTCTTTAATCGTTAAATCACTGACATGACTCTAGCTTGTGGTCTTCTTATAAAATTAGTTTCCCTTTCTTTTTAAAATAAGTTCAGAGGAATCAGACGCCAGTATTTTGTCCATATACCTAATTTAAGGGATTTCAGTGGGGACCGCATACTGAATTATTTAAAGGTCCGCCTATTATACTGTTACATCAATATATTACAGGTCTCAGATATATACAAAACATGTCTCTGAAGTGTTTGGCTCCAAATACCAAACAGATCACACATTGTAGCATCCCATAATCCCCTCTGTTTCAGTCCTGTTTCAAAAGTGCTGATTCTGTGTCTGTTATTTTAGATGAAAATAAGGAGCCACTCCCCACGCCATTTGGTTGAAAAGAACACAATGGTGCTCTAGGAGGAGATTCAGGTGATAAGGTGGGGGGGGGTTACATTGGTTGGTTATTGGCCAATGGCTACACAAGCCAAAAAAATCGTTATGACATCATAAGGTTTTTATATAAATGGATCAGGACAAAAAGTGAACAAATTTTTTTCCCTGAAACTTTCAGTATCTCTTTACACAGAGGGGGACACATGGTTATGTATAAAAGACATGAAAAAGTGTATTTTGCATAATAGGTGACTTTTAAACATGGCTGTATGTCCCTCCTTCTTTCCTAACTCTCTTGAGATGTCCAGATGAGTCTGATGAAAGTTTTTGAATAAATAATTTTAAAAGTGAGAGTACTTTGCTTTTGAAAGTATTAATAGTGAAGTATTATTTTAGATTAAAATTATAAATGTGTTTTTTTTGTAAATAGAAGGAAAGTGTGGAACAGAAAGGCATTTCAAATGTTCAAACTTAAACAGCCTCAGAGCATTCAAACTCGCTATCTTTTACATTTTGCAACCCAATACTACAGACTCTAAAATGTGTCAGGAAGTCTAAGTGAGTTCAATTGTGATGCTGGGGAATTGTTCTCAAATAGAATCATGAGCATGTTGGTCTCCAGGGCAAAAACAGAGAGTTAATTAAAGTGATACTACAAGCGACAGATGACAACACGATAAAAGTCAATTAGTTTAATAAACATTAAATTCGGTCAGCAAGTGAATTCTGATAAACACATTGTAATCCATGCTGTGAGTGTGTTACAGGAAATCAAACCCAGTTGGAGATTATATCACTATTTACTATTCTGAGTGGTTTGCGGCTGCTGTTGCTTTACCTTGCTTGTTTTTCCTGTCAGAGCTCCAGGTCTGTCCTCCTCAGAAACAATGCTTTTAATTGGTAATTGCTGCACCACTGGCACAAAGGTGAACATAGAAGGGACTCCTATTGAAATCTGTAAAAACAGAGAGGAGAGGAACAGATTGTTCACATACTAGTTATATAGAAAAGCACACAAACTTGTTGACTTACGATGCAGTAAATGATGAGCCAAGCAAAATGAAACTTATTTTCTATAAAAAATGGTAGGGATCATGTTGAGATCCACATCAGATCTATGTTTCTGTCACTCCTAATGTTTTTTTTAACAGTTAAATAACACTGAGATTGAGAATATCTTATTTCTGTCTGCTTCCCAGGCTCTGTACCCCGCCACTAATTAGCCATCATCACACACAAAGATCAGTCCATTTAGCACGCCGCAGCTGAAAGCCCCGGCAAACCCAGACTCATACAGCAGTAATGAGTTACAATTAAATCAGCTCACATTTTCGTCTGCACAATGTAACAAAAATTCTTCTTGTGTGACACATTTACAATGGTCACTGAAATGTGTTTTGTCAAGCTGTTGTTTCAGCACATAATGAAGAACGAGAATGTCCGCCTCACAGTTGTTTGCCTCGACACCTTTTGGAAATATTTTTGAAATTGTCTCAATTTTCTCATGACATTTTAAGGTTTGGGCAGAAACATATTTTCTGAGATAAGCAGTGACGTTGACCTTTGACCCCCAATGTGGTCTAAGTTGATGTTGGTGCACAATTTGGATGCATTTTGCCTCTGGCTGATGCAATAAATGTAGAATCCCAACCTTAGCATTTATAGTGTGGCATGTTGCTTCATGAATGGCTTGGGTTGAACTGTGAAAGCTCTGTCGGTAGGTGCCGTATGCTTTTTTTCACATGATGGCAAGACGTTTTTGGTTTTCATTTATCCAAACAACAGTTATCTGAGATCTGTACTTTTTTTTGCCAAACAGAACTGTGGTGTCCTGGGAAAAGTGGAAAATGGGCTTAAGTAAAATCACTTTGGTGTTGACACCCTGGGTTAAGCAACAGGTCCATACTGTGAAATCTCTGAAATGTTTCCAGAGGTTATTACATGCAGCTCTTTGCCTAAACTACTCACAGCAGCATTCACACTGTCAGCAGTGATGTGTCAGGGATGCCCCTGCTAAAATGTATAAAGAGGTGGTGCTCTGAATTGTGTCAATATACGAGAGACACACACCTTATCTCTGTGCTTATCATTTTAAAGGAATTAGAGCTGCACAAAATAATTGCATTTAGGGTTAACATCACTATATTTCCCATTTCTTAGCTTACATTTTCTGCAAAAAGATTGCATCTCAACATATTTTGAAGAGTGTTAACCGATGTAGATGTTTTGATTTGTTGTTGGGATCAAACGCGATTCATGGTCTGTATTTTCCATACATTTCCTAAAATTCTGCCTGCCGCAATCAAAGCCCACTCACAAAACTTCTGCTGCTCACTAATCAGCTTCTCCTCTCTACGGTGACAGGTCACCTGTCAAATGTAAGCTGGAGGGGAAGGGCGCTGATATTTCCCATGCTAATCAGCAGAGGTTATTGTAGCGCATACTTCAGACTCTATTAAAAATAGATCACACAGCCCCTGCAGTTTGATGTAGACACAGGCAAAGAATCAGCATATAACTTTATTTTTCACCTTCCATTTCACATTTGTACTGCATTTCAACCAACAACCCCGCTCTGATATCACATTATGTGGCAAGCTAAATATGGCAAGAATATAAAAAATCAGTTGCAAAACAAGATGTGGTGTCTGAAGAGCAGGGCTTCTCAGAGCTTGATTTTTTTAAACGGAAAATGAAACCTATTGTTTCAATGGCATGCTGCGGCTCCGACTGGAACTATTTTAGTTTCAAGAACAGTTGTTTGATATGCCTTATGCAAGAAACGTTTAATTGCAAATCATCACCTGGTCCTATAGAACGGCTTCACTCAAAAATAACACAAAGGACTGCTTTCAACAAATTAAGTAGTTGAGGAAACGTAATCTTTTTCATATTAGTTTAACCAGCCTTCAGGTTAGTTGTAACATTATGTATTTTCAACAGGTGGAGCATCAATCCTGCTGCACTTCGCTTGATTACTGGTTTTATCCACTCCTAGCTGGTTATAACTTTGCACACGTGACACATGTAAAAAGCCATCAAGGCCATAAAGCACATCATGTTCTTCTCAGGGTAAAGCCCAAGATGCATGACTGACGTACATAATGGCGCATATAAAGTAAGATAAGTGATTCTTTAAGAAATTCAGAAAATAATCAACCCTGAACATAGAGCCCAAGGAGGAGGTCATACATACAGTAAGGAAATACAAACACAAGATACATTCTCCTTTACACTGAAAGGATGTTATGCACATTCACATTACAATTTTACACAAATGTATACTTCTACTTTTAGATCCACTACATATTTCACATCTATCTACAGTTTTACTTTACAGATTGATATGATATTTGATCAAATATGAGATTTAAATACTCAACAGTATGTTAAATATTAGAATTGTAATGGAGTATTTTCACATTGTTGTCTCGTTTTTTTTCATTTGTCGTTTACAGTACAAACTGAGGTAAGACCCTCCAGAAAAACGCGGGCAAAAATCCTTTATTATGCGGGCTAAATTCCTTGATTATGCGGGCTAAAATCCTTGATTATGCGACTAAACATGCGGGGTTTTATGTGATTTTATGCGGTGAAATTGCGGGAAGTTGCGAAATATGCGGAAAGTTGCGAAATATGCTAAATATGCGGGGGAAAATAATAACAATTTTTTTAAATATTGGGCTGTCTTATTTATTCTCTCTCACACACAACCTGCCACTAACGTTAAACCCCTTTACTATTCAATTAAACACATTCAATGTTTATTTATTGCTGAGACTGCCAACAATTGGGCTTTTTTAATCTCACACACACACCACACACACACACACACGCACACACACACACACTTCTCCGCCTCATTCCGTTTTCATTTACTCGTTCGTTATCTGACCAGCTTCAATCTTGTAGGCTACTCACTTCGTTTCTTGTAGCCCTCGAAAGGTTTTTGGAGGTTGATGCCTCGCTGAACGTGAGTTGTTCGGCTTTCTTGTCCGCAGGAGCAGAAAGCATTTTCGAATGTTTGAATGAATCAAAGTGGGTCGTCCCCGTCGATTTTCTCTTATGCTCCAACACACAGTTGCACGGGGTGCAGAATAGTTTCCCCCCACTTTTTGCCCGGTCTTTAGTAGAAATGTTCGTCGGTAAATGAGATGGATTAGATTTTTTCATCTTGGTGTTTTCTCCATCGTATGAGCTCCACACGTTCACTCTATACAGTGTTGTTTACATTCTGTGATGCGCGAGCTGATGACGTCACGTCAAGACGAGTCAACTTTTTTTTTTCTCAACTTTGTGTGGAAAAATGCGGGGATTATGCGGCCTTTTGATAAATATGCGGCCTTTTAAAAATCTGCGCCATTTTGCTGATTATGCGGTAAATTCTGCGATCGCAGAATCGCGTTTTTCTGGAGGGTCTATGCTTAACAATAGGTTTATTTATACAATATTTTTGTAAAGGAGTAGTGCTTGTACATTTACTCATCCATATTCATAACATGTTGTTAATTTAGAGTTAGCTTTTTGTGTTTGCTGTCTGTTCTTGTTTGGTTGTCTTTGTTATATATTTTAGTTTGACATGTTAGATGTGAAACTAAACCTATATCTTCTTCTACCACTAATCCTATATCACTCATGTCCTATGTGAACCATGTCCTAGTTTCTGACTATGAAGGGTGAAGATATGTATCTCAGGGACACCAACGTATCTTTAATGAGCTATAAATATAGGAACAGAAAAAATGCCTCACTTAAAATAATCGTGCGCCATCTTTTAAACTTGTTTATGTATTTCTGCTCTGACGCAACCTCCTTGTTTGCATGTCTTCTGTAGTCAAAGCAGAGTAAGTTTATACTGTGAAAGTTCAAAGCAAGCATTTCCTACTTGCCCATCGGAGCCCTCTTGAATGTTTAATTGCGTTGAGTTTCTCCGAGGTCATACCGTCCTCAAAGATCACATTTCCAGACACCACTGACTCACTGTGCTACATGTCGATTCCCTGCGAGCGTGCTATCACTCGGTTATTTGTTGTGGCATGTCCGACCTGGGGCCGAATACAAGCAGCACTAAATCATTTTCTGAAGGAGACCACCCTATGTGGAGACCTTTAAAAGGGACACTCATAAACAGAGAGCAGCCATAAAGTGACAAATAAAGAAAACAAACTACTTGATGAATGCAAGACTTCTGTAGAAGCTGCTTTACATAATATAAATTCACATACAGAATAAGTGCACACACGCTGCAGTAAATCTGAAGCCGCTGGGCTCCACGGATGTTAAAATGCATATCTGAGTAGCTCACGTTGTGCCGCAGTGAAGCATAAACAGTTGGGTGTGTCAGTAAGTAAAGAGTTTAATTACAGACAAACACACTACCCCTCCCTGCAGAGAAGATATGGGAAGCAAATATAGCCCGCTGTCAGATGCCACTGAGCACATAGGGCTAACTCTCTTACATCAAAAACAAATATGATTCCAAGTTTCATACAACATCAAACAAGGCTTGTTTTTGCAATCAATTCCTGTTTTTTCAACAGCAGCAAATACAATATGACAGTGTGATTAATATTACTCACATATTTTAAAGCATTTTCTATGATGAAAAGCTGTATAAGACATCATAAAGATATCTTTATGACCTTGTGGTGCAGTGATAAGAAGTTAGAGAGATGTCATAAAAGTGAAACATGTACTTAAATGAGATATATAAACTGTGAACATTTTTGTTTACATTGATTATCGTAACTTTCAGTTTTCCCGATAGCAATTTGGTAACTGTTTTTCCTCATTGTGTGACAGGAAATAACAGGATAAGTATCAAGTAGCTGCCGGCTGAGTATAAACGGTGTCTATGTGTTTATGTGTGAAAGCCCAGAAGGTTGCAGCGGGTGGTAGAGAGCTAAATGGGAGGGTTAATAGTGCAGATAGATTTATTTATTATTTATTTATGGTCTATTTTTACTGTAGAATTTTGCTTCGAAGTTCAAATCTTCATTGAAAGCTATAACCATTATAACAGAAAAGGCCAGTGGAAAGTAAAGTCAGCTCAGAGATATTACTTCAGCTTTACAGAAAATCCCCAGAAAGAGGCTTTTTATCATTTATTTATTTATTATTTTCAATAGAAACACATATTTTCCAGACACCTCTTACCTTCCCCAGACTATTCTTCAACCCGTCCATTTCTGATTTAAATTCATGTCCATCCAGAAGTGTACTGCTTATTTCCAGGATCCGGGGAAAAAAAGTGCTCAAAGTTTAAAAATGTATCAAAGCAGATACGGGTAAAGCATGCTGCACACCTTTCAGCTCCTCTTGCAAAGTTCAAAGTGTATTACTGTTGGGTTGTGTATCACCCTGCATATTTCCTTTTATAGACACATAATGGCTACAAATAGCTTACAGACATCAGTCAGCCTGCTGGGCACCAGTAACAATGTTCATGCTCGGAACTCCAAAACACAACATATCTCTGGATAGTTTTATTTTTCTTATATGACTAAAATCAACTTCATATGTCTAAGGGTTGTGTATTCCTTTTCAGCATGGGGCTTTCATACATTTTATAATGCACCATATGACTGACACCATGCTGTATAGACCAATATCTTGGCTGACTGAGCTCAGATCATAAATAAGACAGGATTAGATGATGGTATCGATTGCCCAATGGAAAACGCTGCTGAGAGAATGAGTGCTGAGGAGAACAAATATTTAAATTGCTTTTTTCATTAAAATGTTGCTATTAAACATTTATGACATGTTTTTAGTACAGGTTTGCTGTGAAAGCCATGCATTGTGTGGTGAAGCTGATCAACTGACAATAAATAGAAAACGAAATTATCTCTGAACTTGCATGTCTGAGACATAATGTTTTCAAATACTCAGAACAAGGTGTCCATTAAGCCAGCAGACTGACGTGACAAATATATCTGAGCATGTTTTCAATAATGACTTATCGGGGGGGGCTTGAAAGAAATGTATTCACTTGCTTGTTCGGGGCGGCATCGACTTTTCTGTTCCCTTATCAGTGTGTGAAAGCAGACCTTGTACTAATCCTTTAAGTACACTACATTCTTCATTCCTGTCACAGCTGTTCTTGTCTATTTCAACTCTGCCGCCCCCCGTCTCATTGTGGCAGCCGCACAGAGAGAAAATCACAATAAGAAAAAAGCATACGCCTTTTCCTCGGGATAAAAATGATCTGACTGGTCCTTGAAATATAACATTTTTTAAAGTTTTTGAGCAGGACATTTTAAGCACTTTGATAGCAGCTTACCTAAATGACATCCTCTAACTATACTTGGTTTTCATATAATCCGGTTTCCTCCAGTTATTATTCAGTATCTGTTGAAATGGCAGAATGTCACATCTATGCTTTGATTTCTGGCATGAAGTTTTAGCTTTTAGCCTCAAGGAAGTTCTCTGCTACTGGGACGATAAATGATTTAACTAAGGAAGAGATAAGCCTCAAATGTGCAGTGTTTATCATTATGTAATGAGATATATGCTAAAATCCACCCCCACCCCAAACAAAACGTATTAAATACAAGTCTGTGAAACAGTTTTTAGACAAATAGTTCACTGCTGATAAATAGACTAGACCACATGTGTCTAACTCAAGGCCCGGGGGCCAAATCAGGCCCTTGGTTGATTTAATTTCGGCCGGCAGGATCATTTCTAATTAATATTAGATCTGGCCCGCCGGTATATTGCACGCACACCTTCACTCAATCCTGAGGGTTTCCTCAGCTCAGAGCCTGACCTCAAACATTGATGAACTTGCACCCAAGATGAGATGCCAAGTATCTGGCTTGAACTGGCATCACAGAGATAGAGCCATAAGAAATGAATGCAACTGATTATTTAATGTTTAATGTTATTTTTATAGACAATCATTTAAGCTTTGTTAGTTCCAGGTTTAATATGTGCAATAAGTTCATTTCAATAAGTCTTGCAATAAACATTGAACCAGTCCGGCCCTCAACTAGTACCCATTTTTTTATTTTGGCCCACTGTGTATTTGAGTTCGACACCCCTGGACTAGACAATGAA